CCTCTTTGTCACACTATCCGACTAGGTTTTTGCTGGCTTTGGTCATTCTGTTAGGTCAAGGTTAGGTCAAGGTCAATGATATGTGTTTGTATGTCTGTGCGTGTCTGTGTGTATACTGATGTGTGCACCGATTGTGAATGTGTCCATATTACATGAGATCATGAACTGAGAAGCTTTTACCAAAAATACATTCAGCTTGCCTAAAACGCAATATTTTTAGACGACCTAGGTTGACCTTGACCCTGACCCTGGCATCTCTACATCATCGAACATCATGTTCCATGATAGGTGGGAGGTAAGACTGGCAAAAAAGGCCGAAATTAAAGTGTCAAAAGCTCACAAGACCCATAGCCAACGCAAGATATTGGGTATTTGTCATTTGGGCTATGACATCACCTGAAGAATAAGGTCATATCAATATCTCCGAAACCAAAAAACACAGAAACTTGAAATTTTCAGTGGACGCTAAGAAAGGATAGAGAAGCAGCTGTACGAAACATCCGGCTTCTAGCAATCAAAATGTTGAGTGCAGAGCAGAAAAAAACTACCTACCTGGGGGGGGGGGGGGGTGGCAACCACTGCCCCCCCCCCCATGTGCGGGCGAGGATTAAATAATTTGAATATCAGGAAAATAATTTATTCAAACAGGTACTCCAACAGAGTCCCGCTTTTTTATAGGTGACTTCCGATTTGAGCATCTAAGTTGCCCAGGGGGCCTCTTATTTGTAGGTACAGTACAGAGAGCCTCCTACTTCGACTACCTGCACAGAGAGCCTCCTTTTTGTACATACAGCTAAGCTTCTACAGGTCGAGCGCCGGTCTCCTATTTGTACGTACAGAGAACCTCCTACTGTTACAGAGGGCCTCCTATTTGTCTAGGGGGCCTCCTATTGGTTAATGGCGCCTCCTATTTGTCCAAGCGGCCTCCTATTCGTCTAGGGGGCCTCCTATTTGTCCAGGAGGCCTCCTGTTTCTCCAGAAGGTCCCCTATTTATCCAGGGGGCTTCTATTTTCCAGGGGCTTCCTCTTTGTCCAGGGGGCCTCCTACGTGTTCAGGGCCTCCTATTTGTCCAGGGGCCTCTTATTTATCCAGGGTTTTTTATTCGACCAGGGGTCTCATATTTGTGCAGGGGCCTCCTATTTGTCCAGGGGTCTCCTACTTGTCCAGGGGCCTCCTTTTTGAAGGGCCTCCTTTTTGTTTAGGGAGCCTTCTATTTGTCCAGGGGGCCTCCTATTCGTACAGAGGGCCTCTAGCTCCTACTTGTCCATGGGGCCTCCTTTTTGTTCAAGAGGTCCCCTATTTGTACAGGGGGCCTCCTATTTGTCCAGGGGGCCTCCTATTTGTTCAAGGGGCCTGCTATTTTTCTAGGGGGCCTCCTATTTGTCCAAGAGGCCTCTTATTTGTCCAGCGGGCCTCCTATTTGTCCTATTTGTCCAGCGGGCCTCCTACTTGTTCAGGGGGCCTCCTATTTGCCCAGGGGGCCTCCTTTTGGTTAAAGAAGCCTCTTATTCTCCAAGCGGCCTCCTATTATCCAGAGGGCTCCTATTTTTAGGGGGCCTCCTCTTTATCCAGGGGGCCTTCTTCATGTTCAGGGGGCCTCCTATTTATCCAGGGGCCTTCTATTTGTCCATGGGGCCTCCTATTTGTCCAGGGGGCCTCCTAATTGTCCAGGGGGCCTCCTTTTGTAAAAGGTTTGTCCAGGGCTCCTTTTGTGAAAGGGGCCTCCTGTTTGTCTAGGTCTAGGGCCTCCTATTTGTCCAGTGGGCCTCCTATTTTTGCAGGGGCCTCCTATTTGTACAGAGGGCCTCTTACTTGTCCAGGGGGCCTCCTATTTGTTCAGGGGGCTTCTTATTTGTACAGAGGGCTTCTTATTTGTACAGAGGGCCTCCTATTTGTCCATGGGGCCTCCTATTTGTCTAGGGGCCTCTTATTTGTCTAGGGCCTCCTATTTGTCCAGGAGGCCTCCTGCTTGTCCAGAGAGCCTCCTATTTCTCCAGGGGGCCTCCTGTTTTCCGGGGGGCCTCCTACTTGTTCAGGGGGCCTCCTACTTGTTCAGGGGGACTCCTACTTGTTCAGGGGGCCTCCTATTTGTCCAGGGGGCCTCCCATCTGTCCAACAGGGCCTCCTATTTATCCAAGGGGCCTCCTATTTATACAGAGAACCTTCTATATGAATATCGGACCTCCATTTGTAAAGTAGCTGGTGCGTCTCGGGGGCCTCCACTATTGGGGTCCCAAAATGACAATTGGGGTCCCAAATGTTCGCATTGGGGTCCCACATGGGACCTCGAAAGTATACAAAGTTACACCCATGACACGAACCAAGCAATAGGTAAGTATGTAGCACCCTGTATCGAACAAAGGATTTGCAGAGACGCTACCAGTAGACTATTGATAGCAATCGCCGTCAAGTGCCTATACATAAATTGGCGGCTCATTATCACCCATTATCAGTCGCAACATCTCCCGTCACGAGTCTCTAACAGCACCACGGAGCCGTCCACCGCCTGACGTCACCGAGCGATACACGATCTGGAGGCCGGCTGTGAAATCCCAGCAATACACAGACTGGAGGCGGTCTGAAATACCGGCCGATACACAGGCCGCCTGAAATCCAAGCAGATAGACGGCCTGGCTAAAATCCTAGCCAATACATGGACTGGATGAAATCCCAGCAATACCAGTACACGGACTGAAGACTGAAATCCCTGCCGATACATGGGGTGAAATACCAGCAGAAAGGTCCAATCAAGCCTGACCTGGCTAAGGTGAACAATGCGGGAGGGTTTTCAGAACACAACACGCATAATGATTCTATTATTTTTTATGAAAGCCTTTCGATGGGTGATTGTATGCTTCCCTTTGAGGTCGATATCCATGAAGGCGTGGATTGACGTGTAACTGGCCATACAAACGTAGAAACGTCAGAACTAGATGTCAAGAATTAACTAGACGTCCAGTCTCAATGCAGTCACACACTGCGTGCACCGACGGGAGAGCTAAACGATTGCCACATTTCAGCTCGAAGAGAGCCCCCCCCCCCCCCCTTAGTGCCGCTCCCCGGCAGATCACACCCCTCCCCCTCCCCACACCGAGCTGGGACAGCTTTATGGCCGCTCTGCCCGCTGTGCGTCACGGATCCTGTCTCGGAGGCGGCGGCCGCTGCCAGGCGCGCACCGCGCTGAATGTCGTCAGTGACGCGACGCCGGCGGGTCCGCGCCGCGCCGAAAGGGTCGCTAATTGCGGCCACAGTGTGCGGCACGCCGTGTCACCGCGCGCCCCGAGCAGGACATAGATTGTACGCGTCCATACGTAATGCGGGAGCATCGCTCAGGCCGCCCGGACCTCCGCGCTTGCGAAACGGATACTGCTGAACCCGCTGGGTGCCGGGCGGTGATCGCTGGCCGCTGCTCTCTGGCCGCTGGGTGCAGGGTGCTCTGTTCTGGCCGCTGGGTGCAGGGTGCTCTGTTCTACCCTCTGGTCTCCGGGAGAGGTGGCGGAGGGAAGGATGGCCGGGGCGGGCCGGTGCAGCGGTCCGGCTGTATGCACGTCTCGTGCTGAGCTGGCGCCGGCCGGGGAGTGGGAAGGTCAGGCGGCTCAGGGTGCCGGCAGTGGGCACATCCATCTACTGCTCACGGTCCCAGGTGTGGCCAGGAAGGCCGCGTCGGTACCGCGCCGAACATATATCGCGGATATACGTGCATCCTTCACACCGCGGCGATCGAGCCGGGCAACGCGATGCGTCAACTGTCGACGCCGAGCTATTCGACAGGACACTGTCGAATAGCTCGGCAGGGCAGGCACAGGGCAGGCGAACGTCCGACACGGTCTTAGGAGTTAAGGAAGTGGGCAGTGAAAGGACTGTGAATACCTATCAAGCGAAAGAATGCTCCAGGGATGAAGTGGCACTAAGTATTTCAAAACCAACTCGCCATCACGTACGATAGTTTTAATCGAGTCTCAGCAGACCACATGGAAACCTTAAAGAGCACGTTTCATTCAGAAACAGCACTCATTGAGACATCCACCCATGTCTGCAAAGAAGTTAACTAGGCATACCACACCGTGGCCCTAGCAACGGCAGTAAAAAGGGAACAAAATTCCTCGTACGCCATAAACGGATACGACATGAATATCTGGCATGCAGTTTGTATGGAATGTTTTGAGTTTACAGATGACTCACAACTTATCTTTATGCAACACTCAATGCATAGCACTGCACGACATTCTTGCATAACAATGACAATAAAACGGCAGCGTCCGTCGAATCGACTCAGTCGAATCTTCGAGTTCAGTCGTCGAATCTTCGAGTTCAGTCGTCGAATCTTCTGAAAACGTAGCAATTCAGTAGAAGATGGCGGACCCTCTGCGCTAACAGATGGCGCTGATAAACTGAAATAACTGCACTTCTGAGGCGCATACTCCTAGCAGCCCCGGCAAGAGGAACAAAAACAATTAACAAGTAACACACCTAGGCGAAACGTCACCGCGTCACAGTTACACACGTAACTGGCTCAGAAGATTCCAAAATGCCTCCGACCGACACGGTTTCAGTCGCCTCGACCTACCTACTGAATAAAGTTGACTGCGGTTTGCATTAACTCAATTCACACTTAATTTACAAACACCTGAAAAACAAATACAGACTGCTAATGAATACGTGACTAGCTGCATATTGCTATGCAGTCAGTCTCAATGGCGGTTGACTTTTGTTCGAACTCCTGTTGCTAATAAGAGAGCCAGTTTCCGTGGCATCCGTGGCACTGTGCCGAGTTTGGTGTTGGATGCAGTTGCTTCATTGAAGTTCCCCGAACAGCCCAGGCGACTCTTACCCATTGGGTGTGCGTTGGCTTGGCAATTTATTCAGCGTGAATCATTTCAGATAAGATGGGTCAAAGCTACGCTTTTTTCAATATCCCTATGAAACATTAATTTGTTTCGATGTAATTGCATTCATATTTCATACTATAACACAGTAGCAAACCGGGCCAAACACGAAGAACACAGCAACAGGTGTATTAAACAGCCAATGCCAACTATCCAACTCTGAACGGCAGAACGGGAGGAGCAGCTCCGCCGGGTGTGTGCCGACGGTCCCTCGCTCTGACACGGACCCCGCGCGGTGAATTAAACCGAGCCGAGCCGGCGCGCTCCACTTCACCCGGCCCCGCGCCGCGGAAACAGCCGGGGAGGACCACAGCCGAGGGGCAGTCACCGCAGAGTCGGCCCCTTCACAGCACTAAGCGGGGCCCGCACACGAGCGGGACGGATCCCCGGCACTTTGTCCACTAAACCATCTGTACAAATCACCACTCAAAGAGCAATAGGAAACAACGCACATTAGAAAGCTGGGGCAACAAACTAGATTCACAAATCACACGTGCATTAATGGCAATGAGAAAACAAACTAATCGCTCTACACGAACACCCTGCATCGCCTTTCAAACCCATACCAGCACTATCTTCCCCTCAAATAGGCCAGCTCCTGGCTCCATCGCCTGATTATGTTTCTTACTTCGGGCCTCAGGCCCTAATACCGACCGGCACAAACGCAATAGCAGCTCCTCGAAGAAGCTCCTCCATCGCACCCCAGGCCACAGACCCGGCTGGGGCCCCGAGCCATCCGTGACCTGACATTTGAACCCGCCGGGCACTGATTGTCGCCACACCACCCGGCCTACCACTGAGCGCATCTCTCCGGCCCGTCGTTCGTCCAGGCCTCGAGATCGGCAGCCGCTGTTGGCTCAGCCGGCCTACAACAGCCGCACCTCTCCCGGCCCAACACTAGTCCGAACCTCGAGATCGACAGCGATTGACGGTTCAGCCGGTGCAGGATGACACACACCCCGCCTGTGATCAGCGCAGAGAACCACACATCCTTCCCGTCCCATCTCACCGACCCTGAGTTGGTGCACGGCCAGCCGGGGAGCACAGATGAACCCCGCGCTGACCGCGGCAAGTACTCGTACGACTTTATCGGGCCGGCACACTGACTCGTCTGAACTACATTCAGACGAATCGGCACAAACGCCGGCCAATAAAACACACTCCGGTTGATATAGCCAATTAGATAATGCGATGGGTAAGCCGAACCCAAGGAGGCCAATCTCTACATATAGCAAAAGGCAGTAGCCGCTCAGCTGCAGTATACCTATCTCCGTCCGTCGGCCATAGCCTCTTACGTCGAATAGCTTTGTTCACATTGACAGGCAGTGGCAGTCGCCGCCAGTGAAAACACATCGCCCCACAGAGCATTAGCTGACCTACTGGCCGGGGATCTCGGGCGTTGGAGGCCGTCCCCTGGTAGGTACCGGCCCCTCACACACCACCCTTGCATCCGGCCCCTCACTGCCGGAACCCCTGGCCCCTGTAGAAGCCCCTGCCCTGCTGCGGCGGCGGCGGGTACGTTTTGCCCCGGATCGGCCGCCCGGCGAACCCCTGGGGCGGCGGGGGCGGGCCGGGTGCCGCGGCCGCCTGGCCGCCGCCGCCCGGCGGCCCCTGCGGCCCCGGCGGCGGCTGGTGAAACGGCTGCGGCCCCAGACCGGCGCCCACGCCCGGCGGCGGGTCGTCGGGCTGCTCCAGGCCGTAGGGCAGGTGGGTGCCCCCGCCGGGGCCGCCGGGCGGTCCGGCACGATTCTCGGGCCGGTCCCAGAGGCGGCACAGCGCCGAGCCCACCTGCGGCTGCACCTCCTGGCCGTCCCGGCTCGTCTGCACGCGCCGGTGCTCGTTGTATGGGTTGATGAGGTGACGGGTGGCCTGGAACGGGATGTTGGCCCGCTTCACCCACTCGATCTGAAAAACGGAATACGAGTCAAATACCGACCGCCAGCTAGAGTCGGTATTTGGATCATTGTTGCATACGAATATCAAAAAAGGTCCTCAGAAACAAACTCTTACAACAAGAACAAATATTCACAAGAAGTTTTGCGAGAACAAGAACAAGAACAAGAAGTTTTGTAGAACAAGAAGTTCACCAAAAGTATGTTCCTTGCCATATTTTGCGTAGGACGACTTGTCGAGAAATGATTCAAAATCAAAGTCTCGCTCAAAGCCAAACACCGTACAAACCCGCCTCAGTGCACAACAAGGTGCGCTAGGTGGCGCCGCCTGCCGTACCTTGTACGACTGTCCGAGGTTAGGTCCCTGCAGGTCGGGACACCGCTCCGACGAGGCCTGACCCAAGAACTTGGCGTAGCCCTGGAAGTGGCCCGAGCCCTGGGCGCTGAACACGAGGTACACGGTGCGCCCCTCCTGCGGAACGAACAGAACGGTCAGGTCCCGGACAGGTGGCGGCGAGCACACTCCTTCCATGGATAGGGTTATCAGAAACGGATTATGTAGGCATGACATGAACAGGATATAGTTACAAGCCACACGACAAAACTATAAATGTCGTGATGCAGGTGTCCCGATGAGTCATATATTTATTCAGTTATCATTTATCACTTATTATGTATAAACGAATAACTTACAGATGTGTCCGGCCTCGTGCCCAAACCATCAAACAATTTTACCGACAAACATGAGCATGAACTGATACGAAATCATACCTTTCCACTAATTACACCTGTGTTTCTTCTAAAACAAAACAAGCATCCAAAAACACAACCCAAACCGCCCACTCCCTTCCCTGCCCCGTCCCGCCGGTAGGGAAGGGAGCTCACCTTGAAGTTGTGCAGCAATTTTCGCTCCGTGTTGGGTGTGAACGCCCACACACACTTGGTGACCGAGGCGTCCACGGCCCGGGTGCTGTTCGCCTTGATGATAAAGTACCGTCCGTTGTTGGCCGCGCCGTGCTGACCTGAACGGCGGCGGGGGTGGAGTTGGTGTTTGAGGAGGAATAGGGAGACATACCGGTGTCTGTCTGAGAGATATGAATATCTGATGCATCACCCATAAACAAAATATACCAACTACTGCAAATCAAGCACCGGTGAGCAGTGAGCACGATTGGAGTGCGCGATACCGGTTGTATGTATTATATACCGAAGCTCTAATGCTTTAATTCTATCCTTCGGCTTCAATTCTATATTTAGATTTTCTTTGGATTCATAAATGAAGCATATATCTGACGAAGGACATCGGAGGACACAAGGGAAGGAAAGAGGAACTGACCGGCATCTGGGTGTCTCGGGGTCGGCGAGTGGTGGGCGGAGGGGTTGGCAGAACCCGCACCGCCAGCTCCCCCGCCACCAGCGCCGCCACTGCTACCGGTACTGACAGCACTGCTGCCGCCGCCACCACCGCGGTCTCCCGACTTGGGACGGGATTCTGAGCGGCCGGCCAGGCGAAGGGCGAGAGGACGAGGAGGATGCAGGACAGGACAGAGGTCATGAGGGATGCTGGACAAGAATACGGAACAAAAGATCAGGTACCTCAGCGAAAATGAGATGGTAGGACGAGAGCAAGATTCATTTCGAAGGTAGAGGCACAACAAATTATTGAGGAAAAACATGTTTCTAAACTTCAACTCGTACCTTTAAATTGTATACAAACGGACGTCAATTGTCTTTCTATTCCTCTATACAGCTCACACTACCCGAAACTGCCCTCACTGACCACGTGCGGGCGCTGCCTGGTCCGGCGAGACCCTCGGCTGCTGCTGCTGCTGCTGCTGCTGGGGACCCGGCGGACCCTGCTGCTGAGCCGCCGGCGGCGGCGGCTCGCGCGGCCCGCCGCCGCTGAACACGTCACTGATGACGGGCCGCGGCCGCTGGCCGATGCCCGGCGGCTGCTGCAGCCCCAGCGCCTGCTCCTCCGTGGTCAGCACGGCGATCAGCGTGCGGATCACGTGGTCATCCACCTGACGGGACGGAGGGAACAGCTGTCAGCCCACGGCGGTCAGGGTGCGGATCACGTGATCATCTACCTGGTGACACGCGGGAGGGGGTCAGGATCAGCGTGCGGATCACGTGGTCTACCTGGTGAGACAGACAGGACGACGTAGGGTCACACTGACGCATCTCCTCATCGACATCTGTACGTGTACACACCACATAATTGTATACGTGGACACTTCATGTTAGACTAAGGAACAATATCGCGGCGCTGCCGGCCACCCCAGCCGACTCACCTGTGACCATGTTTTGCCCGGCGCGCGCATGCGCCGAATGAAGAGTGCGTGCCACTTTTGTCGCAGCTGGAGCGCCAGGTGGGCCGCGTCCGTGTCCACTCTGAATCCGACCCATTCGTCCAGTTTGAGCATGGTCTTCTGTCCCTCGGAGCGCTCCTCGACCTCCGAGTCTGAGTCGGCCTCCATGTAGCTGTCGCCGCGCATACCCTGTAATACTGCAGACAGCATACACGGGGAGGTAAGGTAAGGGACGGGCATACCTCTGACGGGCACAGGATGGCAAGATCACGAGATATTACACTACTAGAATCTTCAAAATTACATATCCGTACCTGCACTATAATGATACCAAGACATCCACTTTATCATCACAAATATTCAACCAACAAATAACAATATCACCAGTATAACGCCTTTTGGGTCGATTAACGGAGCGAGCGAGAGGGTGGGCCTTGCACGTGCGAAATTGCGAGGGGTACCTTAAACTGACTTGTGCACGGCACCCTACTAACCGGTCTCTAGCGATGTGCCAAATTTGAGCACAATCGGCCCAGCCGTTCTCGAGATCTGGAAGCGGCACCCTGCACGACGTGCCCACGTGCAAAATGGGTCCCAACTGACTTGTGCACGGCACCCTACTAACTGGTCCCTAACCGTGTACCAAATTTGAGCGCCATCGGTCCAGCCGTTCTCGAGATCTGGAAACGACCCCTGCACGTGCGCGCGTGCAGCACCCCAACTCTGGCACATGGATATGCATTGCCTAGTGGGTGCCTGCCTACATGTCAGCTTTTAGCGCAATCGGCCAAGTACTTACCGAGATATTGCAACTATTTCAAAAGTGACACCTCTTCATTTTGCACGTGGCACGTGCATAAGGGTCACCCACATGCATCGGGAATAGTACAATACTTGGTAGAAGGAATGAAGCTACCCTACAAAAATTACCGCGTGTAAATCGGTCAAATGGTTGCTGAGATATAAGCCTCGCAAAAGCGGTCGCATGGCCGGCCGGCCGCTCATACTCAGAAATTTCCGTTAATCTAAGGAAAGACTACGCTCGCTTCGCTCGCTCCGTAATCAAGCACCGAAAAACCTCAGAAAGCTGAGACACACAACAACCCAAAACATCGCCCATGCGACCTCTCGTCTCTAAATCTCCCTCTCACCCGGACCTACCGGCGTCGGCCTCCGACACGGCGTCCAGGGGCAGTCGCGCCGGGCCGGCCATCAGAGCCACGGTGATCGGGCTGACCAGCGTGCAGCAGCGCACGTGCGCCACGCGGCCCGAGCGCGACAGCTCCTCGAACATGAGCCAGTCGGCCGGCAGCGACTCGATCGCCGAGCGGTGCGCCTGCGCCGCCGTCGTGCGCGCAGACTTGGGCGCGTCGGCCAGCGTCGAGGACGGGTGCAGACGGACTCGGCTCTCTCGCCTGGGGGAAGGGCGGGAATTGAGTTAGAGACGGGACGTGAAAACAGGAATGAATCTAGTGTTTTGATCTTGTTACAGATGGTAGTACAAACTGTCGGAAGGCAAAAATGGCACATTACGCAAAAAAATACAACACTACTGAAAAAGCACGCAGTGGCCATTCTTTATAACACACTCTGTTGTGCCAGCCCCACCTGAATAAAAGCCCATAGCACACCAGCCGTTTCTCGCGTCACTTACTGCGTCCTCAGCTGGACCTGCTCGCGATCCACCCTGATCAGGTTGGGGTAGCAGCCGGCGCACAGTGCCGCCTTCACCACCGCCCAAATCTCAGAGTTCGAGTTCAGGTCCCTGGCGGACGGAGGTAACGAATGTGGTCAGGTGGAACGAGACACACGGGTCATAACAGCGGCCGAGTAGGGTATAAAAAAGCGGAACGGAGTCTGAACAGAGTCCCTGACGAACGGAGGTACCAAATAGCCAGTTGGAACGAAAGGCACGGGTCACAGCAGTCGAGTAAGGTCTAATAGAGCTAACTTTTCACGAGAAAATGTTCGAGACCAACGCATCCTGACTAAATTCGTCATCGCCGCTAATAGACACAAATCACCTTCATCAAAAGCTGCATTAACAAAATTTAGCCGTTACGCCTATTCCTTCTGCTACCGTCAGCGTTCAGTCCCTGAATCCGTCCCCGCCTCCGTCTCCGCCTCACCTGATATCCCCCGCACCTCGGGCCCGCACGAATCCCGAGGCGCGCAGCTGTCCCAGCAGCTGAGTCCGCATCCCCACCACCGTCTCCATCGTGGCGCTGCTGACAAAGTTCTTCTCGCAAAACGAGCGCTCCCAGCCCTCGTTACGGGCCTTCTGCCACGCCTGCAGCACAGAGGGGAGCCCCTCGATTAGCTTAGCGAACTTACATAAGCAATCAGGAAAGTAGGTACCTACAAAAAAAAACGTGATACCACATTGCGCGGCAAGGAAAAAAAACTAAGAAATAATTTACTAAAACAATAACAGGGAATTACGCAATGCAGATAATGATGAAGCGGCGTACTACGCAAAACGTCGCAGTCATATGACAACATTGATTCACCGGAGACTCAATAACAGCACGATGTTGGCTCTGAGCAACGACAGTTTAGCCGACGGGGTGCCATCGCCCCTCCCGTGAGTCAGTCACCCCCCCCCCCCCCCCACATACCTGGAAGGCCCTCAGTAGCGTCATGTGGTCGCTGTACGTGTTGGCTGCCAGCTTTTTACGTGCGGCGGCGGCCGCGCGCTTCTGCGCCGGTATGGCGGGCAGCACGAACGGGTCCCGGTGCGCCAGGCAGCAGACGATCGTCAGCACCGGGTCCAGACACTTGAGCACGATCGAGTAGAGGACGGCCTTGCCGAGTCGCGGCTCGACCGGCAGGTCCAGCAGGTGGTGGCCCAGCTCGGTGACGTCCTCCCACGGGTCCAGCGCGTCGATCGTCTTCAGCAGCTGGACGGCGGCGCGCGTCACCATGAACGGCGGCGGGTCGGGCGTCTTGGCCAGGAAGTCGGCGATGGGTGTGTTGGGCGGCGACAGCATCTTGCTGTGCAGGCAGAGCTCCTGCAGCGGCGTGCGCAGGATCTCCGGGGTCTGGTAGGGCTGCAGCGCCTGGAACCGGCTGCGACTGAACAGATGGTAGCAGACGCCCGGCTGGCAGCGGCCGGCGCGGCCACGCCGCTGCAGCGCAGAGGCCCGGCTCACCCAGGTGGGCCGCAGCTGAGACACGCCCGTGATGGAGTCGAACGACTTCTGCGGGAGGGCGACGCACGGAGAGAGGCTGTTAGTAAAGGGCAGTACCAATGGGACCGGATACCAGTTTGTCGGACAGCTATAACACATTGCTAACCACATATCGCACTCTAAACACAAATCCTTTGCAGACCCAAACTGGTCCAGACTCCGCACGAACATAGACGATCTCACCAGCTGGCACAAAACGCACCTCCTTGACCTTGCCGGTATCGATGACAAACACGATGTCCTGGATGGTGACGCTCGTCTCGGCGATGTTGGTCGACAGCACCACCTTGCGGGTGCCGGCCGGCACGGGCCGGAACACGCGCCGCTGGTCGCCGCTCTGCATGTTCGAGTGGAGGACGAACAGCGCGTGTTGCCCGGGAGGCTCGGTGAACCAGCGCGACTCGGACAGCACCTCGCGCACCTTGACCAGGTCGTCGTAGCCGGGCAGGAACACCAGCACGCTGCCTGAGGAACGGACACAGCGCGGTGGGTGTCAACAGTGGGGACGGAAGGGGACTAGAAAAAAAGAGGGCGAGCGAACGGTAGATGGCGATCATCGCAATTATAAGTGCACCGAAACCGTTCTTTGTAACCGAAGGTTTGTTGTCAATAGTTAAAACACTATTCTTTAGAATTGTGTTTTTCTATTGAAAAACAAATCTGAGTTCCCTGACAATTTGGCAAAAGTAAAACTTGACTGCTCTCCAGTCAGGACGTGTTTGAGCAGCCGCGCCTGCCTGTGTGAGACTGTGTGACTCTGTGTGGACTCTACTCACCGGGCTGGTCTCCCATGAGAACGTGTTTCAACAGCGCCATCTGTGAGTCTCTGTGTGTGACTGTGTGACTCTGTGTCAGACTGCGAGACTCTGTGGACTCTGACTCACCGGGCTGCTCTCCGGTGAGGACGTGTTTGAGCAGCGCCACCACCAGGTCCACGTCCACCCGCTCGTCGTCGTGGCTGAGCTGGTAGCACTGCAGTAGCTGGCGGTCCTCCTCCGACAGCTGCGCGTCCACCGCCTCCTGGGCGGCCGCGGGGGACGGCCTGCGGGGGGGGGGGAGTGTCAGACAGCCGGGCGTCCACCGCCTCCTGGGCGGCGGCGGGGGACGGCCTGTGGTGGAGGGGAGGGAGAAGAATGCCAGAGAGTTGAGCGTCCACCGCCTCCTGGGCGGCGGCAGGGGAAGGGCTGTATGCGGGGAGGCCGAGGAAGGGTCAGAGATAGGTTAATGAGGGGAACCCGTAGTATCCCTAGTACGCTGTCTGTACTCAGTTCACTGACATTACCGACACGAGCTGCATGGGCACGAATCTCACCAAACAGTCCCTGAACCCCACCTCTCGGTTCCCCACTCCGCCCGCTTCTCCCTCCTCTCGACTCTCTCCCCTCTGCCCCTCCCCGCCTCACCCGTAGGCGTCGATGAGCTCGACGGCCTCGGTCTGCTGAGTGCGCTGCGCCCAGTCGCGCGCCGTCCACCCGTTACTGGCGTGGATGGACGTGCTGGCACCCAGACTGAGCAGCTGCTCCACGGCGTTCAGGTTGCCCCGGCCGGCGGCCACCATCAGCGGCGTCGCTGACGTCTCCGAGTGCTGACAGACAAAGGGCGGGGTCAGTTCGGGTCAGAGAATACACCTTGTGAGCCACCAGGGACTGAGTAACAGGGCCACCATCGGCCACCATCAGCGGGGTGGCTGAGGTCTCCGGGTGCTGACAGGTGGAGAAGGGGTCAGTTCTGAACTAGGGGCTCAGGGACAGAGGGGCCACCATCAGCGGCGTCGCCGACACGTCTCAGAGTGCTGGTAGACAAATTGAGGGCGGGGTCAGTTCGGAGCCAGAAGCTCAGGGACAGGTGCCACCAGCAGCGGGGTCGCAGACATTAGTGAATGCTGGCATATAAAGCGGGGAAGTCATTCTAGGAAACAGTAATTGCTGATGATTGATGCATAAGCAACTGAACACATTTAAATGCGAAACGAAAATTACGAAAAGCACGGAAATAAAACTTAAAATATGCACTATACAGGGTGATTTTTTTTAACTGTTAAAAAGTAAATGTCAATGGTGGTCCCTAAATCGAAAAATCGCGTGCAAAAAAGCAATGCACGTGATAGATAAATCTGGGACATTTTGTATGGTGTCATGATTTGTCCCTTTTAACCGAAGGCCTCGGCCCCAATGGTGCCTGAAAATGTCCCACCAATCGGGCACGCATGGTCAACCGCCGTTCAGTAAGGAACGACACAAAACGATAATTTTGAAGCATTGAGGCAGTTCGAAGCATGCGATCATCGAGGAGATATCCCAGAAAGACGTTAAATAATGCACGAACAAGCTTGTAGTCATAAATAACCTTCAAACGGTCCATCTGGCGTATGTGCAGCCTCTGAAGAATCAGTCTTTAGGGAGAAAGAAAAACAGCGAATCAGACACCACCAGGGCCGCCAGTGTCGAAATCCTCGACCTGCCCTTCATAGACTTCTAGTTTTTGGACCCAGCAATGGCAGATATAACAAGAAAACATTGGAAATATCTGGCAGAGCTAAAAATGGGTGATAGGAGCCTTTTCAGTCCGCCTAAAGGGTCTAGGAGTCCACGGTGCTGTTCAACACGTGCTCAGGCGGGCTGATTCGTGTCGGTGAGAGAGGGGGCAACTTCAAGCGCAAGTAAAATACACGATGGACGTTCCTTCACATCGTGTCTGCATGAAATCAAAATGTCCCAGAATGCTTGTCATCCTGGTATATAATTTTGCAATATATATTTATATTTTAATGCCACTAGACCTCATTACTTTTTAACAAGTAAAAAAAATCACCCTGTATACGCCGTTGCATTCAACTTTCAAGCTACTCTAACCTATGATTACAGGCTTTTGCAGGCTTTAACACCTCAACACAAAAAGTAGCGATCCAAGACGACACTTTTCTTTGCATGTTCTCCGCTCATCTGAATGTCTAAGGAGACGCGCTCACCTGGTAGTCGACGGAGACGTTCTCTGTCATGATGAGGTGCAGGAGCTGAGTGAACGACTCCTCGGAGGCGGCCAGCCAGGCGGTACTGATACATCGGTCCATCAGTTCCACCAGCCACGGCTCCAGCTCTGTACGGTCGGGGGTCGGCTGGGGATAGGTCAGGTCAAGTCAGGTCAGGTCACGTTACAGACAGCCAGGGCTCCAGCTCCGTGCGGTCGGGGGTCGGCTGGGGAGGGGAGGTCAGATCAGGTCACAATTACATGTCAGGTTATAACATAATTTTACACATGTAACAGTCTTGCACAATGTACAAGCAGCATATCGGGGCCCCCGCATAGTGACTGCCAAGACGTCTTATCACCACCGAAAATTTGACGGAATATCATCTACGCACATAACTACACCTGGTGCTCCGTGATGGATGACATACCACACATAGTCTCTCTGTTATGCAACTGCTTCCTGGTCTAACCCTGTCCGTTCGGCACATTCACCAGCGCCCTCTAACCACATTCCACCAATCCCTCTCTGCCGGTGTCCCACCTCGGTCTGCTGTCCCAGTATGGTTCGACCTCCGTCTGCTGTCCCAGCATGGGTGTGTCCAATTACCTCACCCTGCTGTCCCAGTATGGTTCCCACCTCACCCTGCTGTCCCAGTATGGGTGAGGTGGGAACCACCTCACCCATACTGGTACCCCCCCCCCTTCCTCAGTCTGCTGCCCCAGTATGAGTTACCCCCTCACTTCAGTCTGCTGTCCCAGGATGGGCGCCGGGATGTGCGGCCTCTCGATGGCGGCCGCCGCGCCCGCCAGCGGCCGGTCGGCCGCGTGCTCGGTCCACGAGCTGAGCGCCTGCCGTTTGCGCAGCTCCGCCTTGGCTCGCTCCATCTCCGGCGAGGTGAACTTCGTCTCCCGCAGCACGTCCTCCAGGAAGTACTCCTTCACCTCGTACATCTTGCCCGGGACTGCGGGAGTGACGGCGGCAGGGAAGCGTGAGCAGAGCGCCGGGATATGCAGAGGAAATGTAGTTACTTTCAGCCACTACGTCAGTACTTTCAACTCAACCTAAAAGCTTTTCAGATAACCTACCGTAAGGCACTTATCGACAGTCGTAACTTAATACTCTGAGCGGATGTATGTAACTAAACATAGAAACTGCGGCATTATTAGCATCGTAAAGGTGTTACGTAATCGACTCAATCTATCGATAGTAGCCAGTAGTCGGTAACCAGAAAAGCATACGTAGTAGACGGAAACACAACATTCGAAGGTTGATCTATCATCAAACACAATGCATTAAGCCCATTATGTAACAGCCGACTCAGCAATGCTGATAGGAAAAGCCTGCAGACGGGAAGAACTTCCCATGAACTTCAGCGCTGAACTCCCTTCATATGCCGCATAACGAACAGCATATCTAAGTGAGCAACCACATTCTAACATAGTAGCTGGACGGACAGGCAGGCGGACCTAGAATGAGCAACTAACGAGCCGGCACATATATCATTAGCCGACAGATTCTATCTGACGGGTGCGCCTACTTTTGACGACCGGGCAGACGTGGAAGTACTTGACGAACAGCTGGGTGTCCATGGTGGCCGACATGAGGATGATCTTGAGGTTGCGGTACTTGGAGATGCTGTCCCTGAGCACTGCCATCAGGAAGTCGGCGAACCGGTCCCGCTCGTGAATTTCGTCCACGATCACTGAGGGTAGACATACAGGCAGTCACACACACTGAACTCACAGAGACAAAGGCAATTAGTCATAGGTTGTACTCCTAACGGACACTGCAGCTTCTAGTGAGCTTCCTACGCAGGTTCAAAGACACGTCTCACGGCCATAGTGCGTACGCAGGCCCTGAGTAATGAATTGGGCAGAACTGTCACAAAACCACCCGGATTAGCAGGAGATCCAGCATGCGCCGGGCGTCCCCAGTCAATCACTGATTGTTCCTACCAGTTTGCAGTACGTAACCTTGATAAAACCGCATTCCCAGATCATCAAATCAGCCACATCCCCGCGGAGACTCGGATTAGCGTCTCTGGCCGGCTCGGAGCGACCACAGACGAGGCTGCAGCCGCTCCGGTGGAGACCGAGTCTGGCGAGTCGCGCCCACGCGGTGTGGCCGGCCTGACTCAGGGTGCGCGCGGGCGGAGTCACGGTGAGTCAGTGGTTTTACCGTGAGTGACCGTGGCCAGGGCGCCGTCGCCGCCCATCAGGGTCCGCAGCAGCACCCCGCTTGTGCAGAAAGTCAGCAGTGTCTTGGGCGATACCCTGACCAAGGATACCACGCACCAGTCACACACTTATGTAATACGGCAAATACGTGAGAGTCAGGCACGGAATACGGCATACAATAAAAGGAAAAGAAGGCGCGTGTATGCACATATCAGCGGCCTTCAATCTATCTACCTCTTGGATCTATCTACTGGTCTTTCTTTTGCACGACAATGGCCGAATAAAACATATCAGTACTACCATCACACTAATTGTCAGTCCCGCAGCTCTGTTTGTAGAGCGCTGGACTCCTGGTGATTAGTCGGAAGTAGCCCCAGCCAGCTGAAGTCACTGGAGTAGGACCCACCGTGTCCGGCTCTGATTGTCACACTAAGTTGGCATCCTGATTCTCTCATTACCCGGCATTGCTTGATCACACGGTAGGAGTCGGATTCTGCGCAACAACTCCTGCCTAGCGTGTGCTCCCGCTCTGTCAATCCGTCCAAACATTCTAACCAAATCCATAAAACTACGCACCGCCACCCTTAGCCCCCGCTCTGTCCCGCAGTCCCCACACCCCTCCCCCCACTCCGTTCATCTGGCGGCGACCGGCGCCGCACCTGCTCTCCAGCCGGATCTGGTACCCGACCGTCTGTCCCACGGTCTCGTCCCTCTCGGCGGCCACCCGCTCCGCCACGGTGAGCGCCGATATACGCCGCGGCTGGGTGCAGAGGATGCGCAGCGGCCGGCCCGCCGCGTGATACTGGTCCAGCAGAAACTGAGGAACCTGAAACACACAGGGAGGGCGGCGGTCAGTGGTCATATGCACTACACAGGGCGTGTCAGTGAACACGCACGGAATATCGGTCAGCGGTCATACAGGACACGGTGCGCCGGCCGGGGAACAAAGGGAACACCGGTCAGCGAGCACACCACGGAGCACCGCCGGTCAGCGGTAAAACAGAACGCAGATCAGCGGCCAGTAAGAACACAGACAGAACAACGATAAGAGAACACGCACGAAGCATCGGTCAGTGATCACACAAGGAACATCGGTCATTTTACAGCGTAACTGTTGGACACAAAAACATTACGGTAGGACGAGCAGTGAACAGTAGGGCAATTATATCAGTCGACTAACGATGCATATTGCATAAGCATCATTTCCGCCTTTCTAATGCCGGCGTCCATTAACCCGCGCCCAGATGGGGTCTGCCGAGCAACGCGGTCTGATGGGGGGGGGGGGCCATTTTGGCCCCCCCCCTCAGATCTCGAGAACCACGCAACATAGCGACAAGCGGTAAACGGTGTTGGATAGCCCCAACGGGGAACTACCTTGTGACCCAATTTCATTGACCTCGGTCAAACCGATGACGTCACAGGTCAGGTCAAAGGTCGAATTTTCACCGTTTACAGGCATTTCAAGAAATGCGTTGTAAAATCGAGTAAAATGCATTTCATTGAAAATCATCGATGGGGAAATGTTCTTCAAACACATACTTTGCTATTTGAGGTTACTGATACCAGGTCAGGTCACAGAGGTCAGGTCACTGGGGGGTCACAATATGAAAGTGTCGTGTGATACATGTTTTATGGTCCATTTTACATGACAAATGCGATTATGTGGGTCAGACAGACTTTAGGGCCAGCTTAGGTCACGTTTTGGTCAAGGTCAGGTCAAGGTCAGGTCAAGGTCAGGTCAAATTAGGTCAAATTTCAAAGTTGATATTTTTGCATAAAATGGGTATCGATTCGATGCAGCTCGTCACGGGGAGTTCAATGGTGGTCTCCGTTTTGCGCTACAAGGTCTAGAATTGCTAAAAATTGAGTTAAAAAATTTGACGTTATCAATTTTTAACAGTTTTTTCGCTATAACTTGGCCAAAAAAAGAGGTATCGATCTAAAATTTGGTATGTGTATCGAAGAGCGCAGGGACTATTACATATATTCCGGTTTTTCGAAATTCGAAAAAAATTTGGAATTTTTTTGAGTTTTGCTCAAAAAATCAATTTTTTTGATTTTTTGGGGTCAAAATCCCAAAATTTCGAAAATCCGAGATAGCAGTTTTGTAGCGCCGTCTTTTCTCTATACAACCACATAAAGAACTTTAAAATTGCTTGTTAACTGTAGAATTGGTGAGCGTTTCAAGATGTCATGTTTTTTGCTCATTTTTACTCGAACATGACCTCAGTTTGACCTCAATAACTCCTGACCTGAGGTGACCTGTGACTTGAAATTTTGTGTGAATGTGTCAAATTGATGCCCGGTAAGGTACCCAAAATTTGGCGGCGCGCAGCGCCGCCGTTTTCTCGCTATTTAAGAAAAACCTTAGGGGGGGGGGCCAAAATGGCCCCCCCCATCAGGGCGCGGGTTAAAGCGCAATAAAACCAGCAATGGCGTCAAATCCAATTATTTTTGTAACTCAGATAAAATAATATTTGTCAAATGAAGCAGTGAGGAAAATATTCTGCAACATTTTGCGTTCTACAGGCGATAAAATTTACCTTAAATGTGAAAGGCAGTTAAAAGAAGCTTGTGACTGCAGGCAAGCCAACCAAGTAACGTCAACATCTCCGCAAAGCAAAAACCAGGCAGGAGCTTCAAGGAAATCCCGGAGTATTGTGGCCAGTTTCACCCTTCCAACCGAGACCGCCAGAAAGCTTCAGTCACGAGATACACGAGATACATGCGGCCGCTGGCGATCGTGCAAAGTAAGAGACTATGCTACAAGTAGCTGATGTGATTCCGTTGCTGGCGATCGCTGGTTCGTTCAACGTAGTTATTTATTGCATAGCCCGAGCAGCGCAGCACCAAAGTCGAGAGCGGAAGCCCCACTTCCAGGTCACATGGCGAGAAGTTGCAAGTGGCGTTTAATCCCTTCAAACTGACCATGGTTCTATTTATATCGCTACCGTCCCATTCGACTCAGGTGAGCGGCCACTCCTTTGCCCTAATATCGGGTGACACAAAAAAAACGGTCATCACCTAATTTCGAATAACTTCGGAAGTTTTATTCAGATCATCACCAAACTTCGGCCACTTTAGGTCACACCTATGCAGCATACATCCACTAAGTTTCAAGTCTTCACTACGAATACTTTTAGTACAGTGTGTGTTTTACTGACGCTCCACAATGTGCTCCAGGTGAGCGCCACGGCGCTGCAGGGCGTAGGCACACTTGCATCCGGCGGGCAAAGTTGTCGATAACCCGATGGCTGTGCACTTTACAGAGTGCAATGGCCTCTGGAGACAGTGCTCAGGGGGTGTGCTACCCCTGAAACGTTATTCTGTGCTACCCCTGAAACGTTATTCTTATCGGGTTATCGACAACTTTGCCCGCCGGATGCAGGTGTGCCTACGCCCTGCAGCGCCGGGGCGCTCACCTGGAGCACATTGTGGAGCGTCCGTAAAACACACACTGTACTAAAAGTATTCGTAGTGAAGACTTGAAACTTGGTGGATGTCTGCTACATAGGTGTGACCTAAAGTGGCCGAAGTTTGGTGATGATCTGAATAAAACTTCCGAAGTTATTCGAATTTTGGTGATGACCGTTTTTTTTGTGTCACCCTGTATTACAACATGGCCTACATATGCCGGGTAACATTTGTTGCCTGACTTTTGCCGAACACCAAACAGGTATTTTGTTTAATTGCTTTTATCTGCAATCAAGACAAATTCGATAAAGATTGGCTTCCCGGAGATTTCCGCGAGCTAACGTCGTGGCCAGCGGTACGAGACAGTCATTGGTTTACAGCTTTACGAAGAAACCGAACTAGCCAACGACCATGGCAGGTGACAAAATGTTTAATTACATTGCCAAATATCTGTCTAATGTGCCGTCGCGACATTTTATTGCGTCGTAGCGATTAGGGCTCAGAAAAACACGAGGGGCCCGGCATCGTCGCTCCTTTCCCTGACGAGCTCGTCAAATATGTCCGATGCACCCAACATTCAATGGCCTTCAGAGTACAATGAGTTTGAGGTCATGGAAAGAATAGAACTAATCCTGCTATGAAGACTGCCCTAATATTGCTTCATTGTTTATGACTTTAAAAGAAGGGCGAGGCCAGCCAGAAGTCCACAGTTCTGGTAATGTCATTGCCATACATGACATGATCCTGACAGAGGCGTGTCTTCGATTCCACAATAAAAGCCCATCATTCATTGGGCTAGAGGCAGTATTGTCTATGGCGCAACCTTATCTGCATTGTCTCACAAAAATAAACATATCTCGCGGTGAAAATGCTCCATGCTGCATTGTTACAAAATATTCGCTATAGCGGGCCGACACCCGGTTGATCACCCGATAGAGCGGTGCAGCTAGACTAGCAGCTCGACTGGAGATTTATACCGGTCGAGGGAGCACATCCCTTCTGGTTTCCAGGAAACTGGCTGGTGTAGTATGTTCACTTTGGCTGGAAGATTCAGATGGCATGTGTCACTTCATGTGACAGATTTCTGAGACTTGTCCCCGTTCTGCGCGTTAAATGTACGAGTATTAGCGACATGTGTGAAACTCTAAAACACAAGTTCACTGTTCAGTGCGATAGTAGTGATGATCAGAGTGTCTTGTATCCATCTCTTGCTAGTTATGATAACCACTCAATTATAAAAAAGAAAAAGACATGCAGCAGCGTTTACCACTGCGCGCACCTCAAGAGAAAACCGAGGAGCAAACTGAAGTACAAGTGAGTGTTGCGCAATGCGCATGTACGACGTACGCGTCATGTTCATTGTTCATGACTTTTTCTCCAGACCAGCCCCAACAGGCACCTGCGCACTGACAGTAACCATTACCGGGCTGCGTGTCGGGCCTTGAGCGGCGCACGCTGCCGGCACCTCGTCCGTCGTTCGTCCCAGTGCACACTGCACACTTGCACCGAGCACAGCGCACGTTTCCGCGGTGGCTTCGTGCGCCCGCTGGGACCGGTTTCAGCCACCGTCCCGGGACACGCCATTGGACGAGACCACTCATTTTATTTGATTCACAAAGATCGATTTCAGGTTCGGAAAGCCCAAGTCTCGGCGGATTAGAGCAGCCACATTAGAACGTAGTTCAGAGTGAGCAGGACCAGTCATCCACGCTGGAAATGCCAGCGGAAAAACACTGCACCGCTGGCCAGCACTTTTTTCATGACTGCATACTGTGCATAGTGAGTGTGCGTAAGATATGTACGTCATATATTCACAATTTCATATATCCATAAACAGGCGAAAAAAACTACAGGTAAATGAGACAAACTTCAGTGACATTTAAAACGGATGAAGTACCAAACATCCGCCTTCCACGCATTTATAACTTATCGCATTCAACTCAGCGAGTCCGTCCATTAACGCCCTGATTTTCGTTCCGAGCTCACAAAATGTGTCGAGCCACGGACCACCATTGCCGAGGGTATGTGGTGATCTATAGTGGTGGAACTCACGTTCGCTGTTTGAAGAAGCTACAAGGAAGAGCAGGACATGAGCTCACGATTGAGAAAGTAATGGGGCAGTTAACAAGCTTCCTGCGTCTTCTGCAGACGGGTTAGCACAAAAACGAACAATTTTCTGAGAAGCTACAGTGACGAAATTATGTTCCGATGTTCCTTTTTAGCAATTAGACATGACATCGTGTTATGCTGCATGTGTTGGCGGATGACATCGGGCTTTATCCGATAATAGTTCATCAAGGTCAGCGTAAGCACATAACACACGCGGACATGGTAGTAACCATTGTTGTCAAATATCATTTTCAGACGTGAAACGAACAACTTATGTAAGCGAAGCGTTACCACATGTCTGGCGTCAAACTTGATCGAATACGTAAAAAAGTACGGATGCAAGACCGACGTAGGACGGTGAAACGGGAAAACGTATCGAAGCATCGGTCACGTCATCTACTATTATATAACTGTTGAATATAAAATGCATTGTGATTTTTTTTTCAAGCAGAAAAAAAAAATCAATCTTATAAACCTCACGTGTCAGTTCGAACGAGTCGATGCCGTTATTCTTCATCTATCCCAGCCCTATGAGAAATGTGCGACAGTCTAATAACGGCAGCGGATAGCAAGTTAGAACAGCTCACCCCTAGCAACTCAGCTTGGCCAGGGAGACGGTGTGATGCAACACAAAATCAGTCAGCATTACGCTGCATTGTACTGGGGACGAGCTTCCTGACGAGGTTTAAAGTGGGGAATACTGCAGAGAGTTGTCCCTGGTCGATCTCTGAGAGACACGACCCACACTGCACTGGGCACGAGTGACCACGCTGCTGAATAGCATGCCGTCGAGCACTGACCGGAGAATGCCCCCAGTGCCAGGTGGCATGTAGGGGGCGGCATCCAAACGGGCTACGTCAGATGACAGTGACGGTGAGTCACCCCATAGTCAGAACATGGGAAGTCCATCCCCCAGTGGGAGAGGATCCCACGGCTGGCCGACACGACAAAAAAAAAAAACTCCATGACTACTTCAGATCATGGAAGATAGACGATTTGATCTAAAGCGAAAATCGGCGGCGAAGGAAAACTTTTCGGCAGCAAACGTGCGTTCTACCCGTAAAATGTCATACCGAACCCATCGCAACAGCTATATGGATGTTCATAAAGTACATGAATAAGGTATAATGATCACAAATCGATGTTTGAATCGAAAGTTGGAATCGAAATCAAATTCGAAAATGGTAGGCCACACACGCTACACACCAAAAAAAAAATCACAAGAGGTTCCACTTCGCTGTTCACGTATTTGATTCACATTTTACGTAGTTAAATGCATAATATTCTGTAGAGCATTCAAACAAATCAACTCAAAAGAATGCTGACTAAACTTGACCTTCAAACGATCGCCTCCACCGTCGCCCAAAAAGTCACATAATCATGTAAGATGGCAGCACCTGGGCCAAATACCACAGGAGCTTTCGTTTGGGACATGAGCGTCTTCTCTTCTTCAATCGTCTTCCGCCAAAGACCGACCTCTGAGTCACCTTCATCGCTTTTCAGCAGACGTGCTTCTAATGACGCAATAAGGAACGGAGGCTGCAAAGGTCGGACTTAGACGCCGCATCAGCAGTGACACCAATGTCCCTGTCTATCGAACGAACATCAGTCACCCAGGCCGTGACCTCGCCCAACACGGACGAAGCGCCGGTCACTGCGCGTCCATCCAGAGCTCCCACCGCAGTCTGGCGCCCCTGTGCGGCGTCATCGCGATTAACTGGCCGATGACGCCGGCCGGTGGCTGACGGGGCACCGGCGGGGAACCACGCACGGCGCGAGGGCGGTGCGGTTCAGAGTATAAAACCCCTCCGCCGACCGGGCACAGGCAGAACAGGTACAGCAGCCGAGCACAACACTCACAGTCCGCCTACCCACACCGACAACATGAACTTCAAGCTGGTGGTAAGTGACGGGCGGCCAGAGGGGGCTCAGATAACGCTAGCTAAAAATCCAAAGTCATTTCGAAAGCTGTATAAGTCTGATTTTTAAAGACTTTTTGCATTGCTTTTCGGTCTTACTTTGGTAGCAGTGCATGCAAATGTGAATTGGAAGGAAATGTTCATTTTTCGACTAGGTATAACTCAGGAATTAAATGTTTTTCTCACAGACAATGACAATACAAAAACAGTGTAAATAAGACCAGACGTTTCGACAACAAAGTGCCTTCGTCAGTGGAAAACAAGATATAGGCTTTACATCGATAAAATATATCGGTCTTCTATATTTTATCGATGTAACGCCTATATCTTTATTTCCATTTTATCGATGTAAAGCCTATATCTTGTTTTCCACTGACGAAGGCACTTTGTTGTCGAAACGTCTGGTCTTATTTACACTGCTTTCGTATTGTCATTGTCTGTGAGAAAAACAAAATGTCTAACTCTTCTAAAAAGGAATTAAAGTAAAGAAAGTTCGAACACAGGAATTTATGAGCATAAGGAGTAACGCTCATACTGTGATGCGTTTTGTGGCGACAATGCTCCTTCATTCAGACACCTGTCCACAGTCCTACCCTATTGACCCCTCAGCTGCGCTGTCCCTGTCCGGAGTCCACAGCCCTAGCGGAAAGACCTCTCCTCTGTCCCCACAGGACTGACACCTGCACTGCTCCTCAACCCCTGTCGATAGTCCTCGCCTGCCGCTGTTCACAGCCTCCTCTCAGACTGACCCCTGCGCTGTCCCTTTCTACGGCCTGACACCCGTGCAGGGTCACAGCCCTACCGCTTGTCGACAGCCTCCACTGAACTCACCCCTGCACCGCTCCTCAGTCCTCAGTCCATCACCTGTCCCTGTCGACAGCCCCTCTCGGACTAACCTTCCACCTCTCCCCGCCCGCAGCCCCTCTCAGACTGACCCTCCACCTGTCTCCACCCGCAGCCCCTCTCAGACTGACCCTCCACCTGTCCCCGCCCGCAGGGCGCAACCCCACCCAGGCTGACGCTCCGCCTGTCTCCGCCCGCAGCTTCTGCTCCTGGTGGTTCTGGTCGGCGTCGCCGCCGGGTTCGGGTTCGGCCGCAGGGGCGGCGGCTACTACGGCGGCTCCCGCGGCGGCTACTACGGCGGGTCCCGCGGGTTCGGCCGCGGAGGATACTACGGTCGTGGCCGCGGCGGCGGATACGGCTACGGCAGAAGGCACTACGGCTAGTCCCCGACCCGCCATACCGAGCTCTGACCGCGCCGCTGGTATCCGGCGGTGGCGGTGCCCCCTCGCCCTGGGGCGGCAGGGAGACGGCAGTCACCGGACCGAGGGTGTCCGGTCCGTCAGACTCTGACCGCGCCCGGCTCACCGGTCGGTGAAGTGCCGTGTACCTGTGTTCGTCCTGTACCCCCTCAGTGAGAGGTCCCGACCTCCGGCCGCCTGAGGCCGTCCGCCGCGCCTCTCGGCTGAGATGGATCCCCGTCCTCCGAACACTGATAAGCGTTGAAGCTTATTAATGTTGACGGAGATCTTTGTTCAACGCGACTGTCCTTTGCAATAGAAATATACGTATAATGCAAAACATTTATGCCTGTATCGTTGTAAATATTGAATCTAGGGCACTTCAGGAAACAGCCGCATTACGAACACCGCAATTATTATTCGGCTTCCGAAGACAAGAATTCACGAATTATCGACACGGTTAGCCTACATGGGTCTCTGACGGCGTTTGATACTCTTTCAGATTAGTAATGATCAAATTGGTCTGGCCCAGTATCTTGTATGTTGGCTGCATGTGGGAACACTGGGCAATGCTCTCCCTCAGCTATAAAGGACCCATCTGGGGCCCAAATGGGCTGACCGGTCTACGCAACAAGGGCAGCCAAAAACAGCCAAATTCATACAATGGACCTAAAAGCATTTGGTAATAAGTTTTACGTCTGAAACCTTTACGTCTAAAAACAATGTCAAACTCTGTTCATATACGCGCGCTGGAGGACTTTGAAGCAAGTCTTCATGATTTGAGCCAATTTTCAGAACTTTTCATAAAAACATACCCAAAGCTTAACCCGGCAGGCGGTGGGCCTCCCGGCCATCCTCCGCGCGGTGGGGGGGGGGGCATTTTTTGCCCCCCCCCCGTATCTCCGAAACTACTGGACGGATCCGGAAAATTCAAACGGCGTTCGATAGCCCTGTCAAATTTATCGAGGGAAACCAAATTTCATTGACCTCGGGGTCACCGATGACGTCACAGGTCAGGTCAAAGATAAAATGTTTCACCGTTCACGGGGCTTCTAGGGAAAGCGCTATAACACCGAGTAAAACGCTGGTTGTCGAAAATCAGCGATAAGGCGTCAGCGTCAGTTGTCTAGTACATATGTTGCTATTAGAGGTCACTGGTCATACCAGGTCAGGTCACAGGTCAGGTCACCAAAGGTCACCAAGGGTCACCACATGAACCCAACTTTACTAAGGTTGTGCGATGCATGTTTTATGGCCAGTTTTTCATTTCCAACTCAATGGTGTTGGTTATAAGACCATCAGGTACGGATTAGGTCACTTTCTGGTGGAGGTCAGGTCAAGGTCAGGTCAAAAAAGGTCAAATTTCAAAGTTGATATTTTTGCATAAAATGGGTATTGATTCGATGCAGCTCGTCACGGGGAGTCCAATGGTGGTCTTTGTTTTGCGCTACGAGGTCTAGAATTGCTAAAAATTGAGTTTGAAAATTTGACGTCATCAATTTTGAACAGTTTTTTCGCTATAACTTGGCCAAAAAAGAGGTATCGATCTAAAATTTGATATGGAGATAGAAAGCGGTAGGGACTATCACATATATTCCGGTTTTTTCGAAATTCAAAAAAACTTTTTGGATTTTTCGGCTATTTTAATCAAAAAATCTATTTTTTTTTATTTTTGGGGGTTAAAATCCAAAAAATTCGAAAAACCGAAATAGCAGTTTTGTAGCCCTCTTGATTCCACACCTTTTATGTCGAAACATTTTTCTGTATCTCTAAAGCTGTAGGCCTGACAGCTCTTCCCGCGAAACCTTTTTTTTGGGTCGAAAATGGCAGAAATGACGTCACTCTGACGTCATTAGCGGCCAACCTATCATAGCCTTTGGAAAAAATTATGGTCACCATGTGCGCTAGCTACTCCCGGGAGGGTACTGAAAGTTTGGTGACGATGGGCGCAGCGGTTCTTGAGATATATCGAAAAACTAAAGGGGGGGGGGCAAAAAAATGCCCCCCCCACCGCCTGGAAGGTTAACCTTTCAGTTTTTTCTCGTTTATCTCCATTTACGTGTACATGATTCATATAAATCTTATTAAAATCAAAATTATGAAATTGAGCAATAGGGGAGAGGCGGGAGAATTGGGACTTATTTCTCAGACCATATTTACTGAGGTAAGGTATTATTGGAAAAGTATTGTAGCCGAGCTGCTTTGTGCAGTACCAATAAAAAATAGGCCATTCTCTACAGCATACCATAAAGAACCGAGCCTATGTAGTCGTGTGATTATATGTGGAGAAAAACAAAAACACTCATTTTGGGGAGAAAAGGGACAAACACAGGAGAAAAGGGACAGACACGATGCTGCATTGGGACGCATAAAAATGAGATATTGGGACAACATTTCTATCTCGAATTATTTTTCTGTCTATGTCTAGGCAATTAATTGATACTTTGAAACTTATCTTCACACTATCTGCTTCGTTTAAGGTCGGGATCGTCTTTCACGATCACGTTGTTACCATAAAATGCCCATTTGCTTACCAGAGTAAGAATTTTTGGTCTCCGCTTAGGTGTACCTATTTATCGTTAGTGGATGCAGATGTAACCCAATCCAAAATATGAAGGTATAACACATCTTTTTGCACCCCTTTACCATTTTCACCATTTGGTGTCGCAATTCTCCCACAACACCGCCGTATCAAATCACACATTTTTTTGTCATTTATCAGTTACAGAGCGTGTTCATGCAAACTAATAATCGCATAAAGACGGTGTTAAGCTAGCATCGTAACATATTGAAAGAAAGATAGTTTGCCATATGCATTACACAGACAACTCAGAATAACACTAGAAAAAAAACAAGATTTTTGGTGTTCCGCCAGCACAGCCCAACTGACGGCCACAATAGGGTTGCTGAGGCTGCCCATCGTTGCGCGACACATACAGTCAAAAGATAATAGCAAAAATCGTGCAAGGATGCTGCGCATTTTTAAAATATAGACGTGTCCCTATTCTCCTGCGTCCTACTTCTCCCGCCTCTCCTCTATAGATCTCGGCTGTTTTTAATATTAGGTATATTATCTCAACAAGATATCTAGTTGAGAAACAAAGAGAGCTAGTGAAAAAATAAAAAAGTGATTAAAAAAGAGCTGCTGCTTAACCCTCGCCCGCACATGCCATTTTCCCATCCTAGAACGCACATGGGGGGGGTGGTTGCCACCCCCCCCGCGCCATTTCGTTCCTGTTGGAGATAGAGCTTAGCGGTAAAGACCAAAAAGATTCTTTGGGAAGAGACGAATCCAATGATACCCAGTTTTACCTTCTCAGGTCAGTAATTGACCTTCCAGGTCAGGTCAAACTAAAAAATGTTGCTGTTTTAGGTCACCGTTGGATATCAAGCGCGCTGCTTGTCATATACCGATGACGATGCCGTTTTCTGGTGCCAAGCCAGCTAGAACCTCTTTGTCACACTACCCGACCAGGTTTTTGCTGCTGAGGTCATCTCAGGTCAAGATAGGTCAAGGTCAATAATATGTGTTTGTATGTCTGTGTGTGTCTGTGTGTATACTGATGTGTGCACCGATTGTTTATGTGTCCATATTACATGAAATCATGATCTGAGAAGCTTTTACCAAAAATGTAGTCAAAAAATTTCAAAAAAAGTAAATTCAGCTTGCCTAAAACGCAATTATCTTAGATGACCTAGGTTGACCTTGACCCTGACCTTGACCTCTGTACATCGTCGAACAACATGTTTCATGATTGGTGGGAGGTAGGATTGGCATAAAAGGCCGAAATCAAGGTGTTAGAAGCTCACAAGGCCCATAGCCAACGCAAGATGTTGAGAATTGGCCATTTGGGTCATGACATGACCTGAAAAACAAGGTCATATCTCCGAAACCAAAAACCACAGAAACTTGAAATTTTCAGTGGACATCAAGAAAGGATAGAGGAGCGGCTATACGAAAAATCAGCCTTCTAGCTTTAAAAATGTTGAGTGCAGAGCAGAAAGACTACCTGGGGGGGGGTGGCAACCACCCCCCCCATGTGCGGGCGAGGGTTAATATGACTTGAATCAATACCTTTTTTATACAAAAATACAATTTTCAGGTAGGTGTGACCGATGGTACACTACCATTCATACCAAGTGGTGTGACCGATGGTAGCGTGGATGAATGATGGGAAATGAATGATGAATGATCGGGTCAGTGGCAGCATGTGGGTCCCAACTGGGAAAGCTCATATGGGCTCAATACGGACCCCAGCTGGGCCCAATATGGGCCCCGTCTGGGATGCCCAGATGGGACCCAGTTGGACACCCATGACATGCCGGTGATGAGGTTCGTTCGTGATGAGCAGCCCAGGTGGGTCCCAGTTTGGTGCACTATTGGGGCCATGTGGGCCCCACTTGGGAAGACTGGCTGGGAAACGACCGAATTAAAAACGCTCATAGCTACTTCCGCAACTATAGTAGGGGAGAGTGGGGCAAAGCGGCCACCCGGGGCAAAGCGGCCACCCATCGTTTTAGCCCTTCATAGCTGGCGTCAGTTCCAATTTATGGTTTCCAATTATACTTCTCTTCACGGTCGTTCGAATGAGCCAGACCGGGGTTTCAGGCCCATCACCATTGTTCTGTGAAACACGGAAAAGCATTTCTTGCTAGGTTACCAACTATGTTTACAATTTTTAAATGTTATGTTATTCCATAACCGTTTGGAATTTTTATAAGCGTTCTTGTCCATGCATTGCATGGTTATCGTACATGTATTCTACCAAATTTTAATGTTTTTTACCCCACTAATAGCTAAGCTGGAATATTGTTGTCTCGGACGGTATGCGCGGGGCAAAGTGGCCGGGGCAAAGTGGCCAGCCCCCAATTGGCCATAAGTTGTTTCCATCTGGATAAAAAACATTATTTATATTCAAATGTGTCGTCATGCATTCATCTTGGCCACTTTTCAGTTGCATGAGTTACCAAATAATGCAATTAAATGTTTTTTTCATGAAAATCCTTTCTTTGTTTACCTACAGGTGGAAGATGATAAAGTAAACATCCATCCTCGCTTAACCTTGTCACCATCAAATACCCTTGTCGTACACGAGGCAACTATTTTGTTTCTCATAACGGGACTTGAGGAGACGCCGGTGGCCGCTTTGCCCCAGGGTATGGGGCAAAGTGGCCAATATGCATAGGTTTAAAGTTTTGTCAATATCTTTCATATGTGAACGCCTTTGGAAATAAGACGCAGTTGAAATAAAAGGCAACTGAATAGGGATCACATTGGTATGGAAAGAATCTTTCCAAGTTTAAAAATCAAGCATTGGCATCGTGAAAAGCGTTAGGGTGGC